TGCCGTACAAGTACCCACGTCACCTGCCACCTACTGGGACTAATGAATGACCTGGCGTCTTCATTTAGATTTGCAAAGAGCTCACACTGTACAGTACTTCTGCCCACTGGCCCTACAGACGTATCATTTCAGCTCATGCCAGTTATCATTAAGATATATGTATAACTTTTTAATTAGAACTTCAGCCTATATTACCCTTATGATTTTCTTTGTACAATAAAACCTCTACATTTCAGCTTGAAGGCTATTTTAACAAAGACCTCAACACTTCTCGTGGATTGCACATGTTCCTTACCCGGCTGAGCGGTGCTGGCCTAAACAGAGGCTTAATCAGTCACTGCAGGTGTGCTCAATTGGGAGATACCATGTGTTCCAGGAGCAGGGGTGAAGCTAAACTTAATACACACAAGTCTCATTGTTTTGGGGGGTTATTTAGAGTAATTGAGTCGGATATGGTGACTCCTGTGTTATGTTGGGTTTAATTACTTGGTGTAAAGTTGTAGTTTTTATTAACATGAAGTTAATCAATTTGTTTAACAGTTGGTTGGTCTGGGGGAGGGGCTTTTAAGCTTCTGTCCATCATGCCTCAGTGAGAATCAACTTTTATTTTGCAAACGGTTTATGTTTTTTCTCTTTCTGTTTTTAGTTTGGAAGTTATTTATTTTTTTATGATTTTTGGAAATAAATGCAACTCATTTTCAATTTTTAGGACTTATCAACCGTCATTTTTTCTTATTTATTCGAACAGCAGTTTTTTAGGAATGGTCATTATTAATCCATAGTTCCATCAGACGTCATGTTTTTTTCCACTTTACTTTCAAACACTACACTTTAATATCGTTCAGTTTCACTTTGAATATTCTATTATGTAATCTCTTCTTTAATCTCCCCATATTGGACAGTTTAATTCACATTTGACAGATACTGTATGCAAATGTTCTTCTAAAAGAGAAATACTGTAGTTTCAGCACTTTTTTTGCGGACGTTAGGACTCAGTGTGCCCTCTTTGAGATAAAGCCACAAAGGATGGTGACGAGTCAGCCGGTCCATATTCAATTATGAGTGATTATGAATGAGTCTTCATCAATGAACACGTTCATTTCAATCACTCTGTAATGTAGAGGGAAAGTCCACAATGGCTGGCCTTTGCTTCTTCCTGTCACCTGAGCTGTTCAGCTGTCAGTCGGCCGCTGACTTCTGAATCACTCAACAGGAGGGACAGAGGTTAACCCGTCTGCTTCAGAGGCTCGGGAATAAAATGCTTTAAAAGCTTCTGTTATAGTTCAGTTTGATCTTTAAGAATATCCAGGATTCTCTGAGTAAAGAAGGTGAAGTCTCAAGAAGTATGGACAAATCATTTGAAACACGTACAAGAAGAGAAATGGCGATTCGGCATTTAAAACTCGGTGAGGAGTCATTAACATTTAATACGATTTTTTTTTTATGAACGGCTCACTTGCAATTACTATTCAACCAATATTTTGCACATAAATGAATGGAACCTTCATTACCAAAGATGAAAGAGAGAATGTTTAAGATTAGATTGAGAAAATGATAGAAATAGTCTGATTCGTTTCAGTCTGGGTTAAATCTTGAAATGCTTTAATCATACAACTGCTTCTTGAACCAATGGTAGTTTAATAAAACCTCAGTGTGTGTGTGTGTGTGTGTGTGTGTGTGTGTGTGTGTGTGTGTGGGTGGGTGACTACTAGTTGATTCAGCACCTCGGATAGTTCTCACTTCAGCAGCACCCTCACACAGCATGGTGGTTGGTCATTTTTCAACAGTTGCCGTGTTGACGGCGCTGAGCCGAGAAGTCGAGGGTCCACATGAGATTCTTTCAAACTGCTGAACATCCGTTTCCCACAGACCTGGACGCGTTTGGGTTTCGCTCGGCATGTGCTATTATTGAGATCAACATCCTGTTTCTGCAAGTGTTTTCACACACAGTGATTTTTCACACATTCCCATGACACCATCATCCTATAATCCTTCTGCTATCGCTCCCATTCCTGATCTTAAGTACCCTATTGTGTCATTCTTATTCTGAAGGAGGAATCATCAACAATAAAAGGAGTTTTCTCCCTCGACTGCAGCACCAGAGAAAATACATTCAGCAACACATACAAAGAAAGAGCATAAGGAACACTTGATGCTTACAACTCCTCTCATTTCTCTCCTCTCCTTCCTTCCTTCCTTCTTTCCTTTCCTTTTCTTTCCTTTCCTTTTCTTTTCCTCTTCTTTTCCTCTTCTTTTCCTTTTACTTATATTTGTCTTCCCCTTTCTTTTCTGTTTCTTTCCTTCCCTATACTTCCTCTCCTCTCTCCTCTCCTCTCCTCTCCTCTTATCCTTCACTCTCCTCTCTCCTCTCTCCTCTCTCCTCTCCTCTCTTCACTTCTCCTCTTATCCTTCACTCCCCTCTCCTCTCATCTCACCTCCTCTTCTCTCCTCCCCCTGTATTTGTAGACAGAGTCGCTTAGCAACAGGTTTGTAGGGTGAGTGGGGCCCAAATTGTCAGCATGGCCTGGGCCGGCTGTTCAGCCCAGTGTGTTATCCTCATGATGTGCTGCTAGGGGGCCGTGTGTGTGTGTGTGTGTGTGTGTGTGTGTGTGTGTGTGTGTGTGTGTGTGTGTGTGTGTGTGTGTGTGTGTGTGTGTGTGTGTGTGTGTGCCAACTGTGTGTACATGTGTGGGTACATGTGTGTGCTTCAGGCAAATGTTGTGTTCATGCAAGTCAGTATGGATTTCTGAGGAGTGGGAGACCTGCCTGTTTCTATTACCATCAAAGTGTGTGTGTGTGTGTGTGTGTGTGTGTGTGCAGTTCTGTTGACTGAACCAGCAGCTCCACTTCTGTTCAACTCCTGTCTGGCACATAGAAAAACGAACACACAAAACAGTTCTTGATATTTGTGAAGTTGACAATGAGGTCAGAAAAGACATTGTTAGAAGAACACAATGAGGACATGTGTGTGTGGGTGGCCTGCATTTATACCACTATCAGCTCTTCCTCTGATATTCTGCAAAACAAAAGCATTTTCATCATCACACCATCCCTGGTCCTCCGCTTTGAATCCCTTCCAGGGAGTCTCTGATCCCAGGTCAAATATCCACAACTGCATCACCGTCTCTACGGGAGGTATTTTACGAGCTGACAGCGAAGAAAATGTCAGTACTTTATTTCTAGGGCCTGCGGATGTGCTGACTTAGTGCTACTGTCAGTTTACCTCATAGCTCCCAAGTGATAAACAGCCCTGGGCCTGGAGAGCTGGAGCATTACACACCAACACATTTAGAGTTTTACTCAAGAGTGCTTGTCTGTAAAATGAGAAAGCTGGCATGTGTAGTGAAGATACAACTGAATAATGCCTCATCATTTGATTATTTAAAATTGGAAAGTCAAGCATTTAATAATTAGAGTTCATCAATAAATATGAATTATAGCCAAATATGGCCTATTCGCTAATATCAAGCCATAATAGTTTGTATATGTATTAAATGAAGTAGGATACAAAAAAAGTTATCATATCCCAATTGCAAAATGAGTCAAATCATTATCATCACTTTTTAAATAGTTCCACCGTAGATTAGATATGATTCCATGGTGGATCAATTTGATGATATCTGCTGAGTTAACACGATTTCTAATTGCCACAGTTAACAGGATGCCGGCTTTCGTCACATTTAAGCGAAGATTAGATGTCCTGTTTACACTCTTTATACCAAACCTAAGATTATTTTCTTGTTGCTCCAACTTCATATTTAATGTCATAAAAGATGCATCAATCGCTTGCGAATTCCCTAACATTTAAAATGTGTACGTTTTCTTAAAATGAAAGGAAACACTTTGAATTATTAAGATCATGATCAAGAGAACCGAAAAATGTGGAGTGTGAGAGAACAAAGGAGAACACATGAAGACAGAGAGTTTAAAACTCATACAAAAAAGTGTCCAGACACGCATGCACTCTCTTCATACAGATGCTTTGATCATTGCACACATCTGTCAGCTTTAATGGCTGTCATCAGTGTCCTAATCTGACACTGATGAAGTCAAAAATCAAAGTGACAAAAATAGATTTATCTTAACATCAGCCTGCCATTTTTTTAATCCCCCTCCATCTCACTGAAACCGTCAGCACACAGCAGCCTGGGGGGACTTGGGGCTCGCATGTCCTTGTCAGATTTCCAACCTGAGTTTGTGTTTTCTGCACCAAACCTGTCCCAAAAGAGTCTGGAGGTCAGACATCTTCTACTCCAGGCTGGATTGAATCACATCAAGCTGATCAGAGGCTGCGTTGGAGAGGGATCCGCTCCTCTGATTCAGTATTGTTCTTTTCAGGCCTTATCTCTGTTCTCTTATACACCAGACACAAAGACATCTGTTATGGTTTTATGTCATATTTATCACATCTGCTGTAGGGTATTGTGATATTGTTCTATGGCAGAGGTTCCCAAACTTTTCAGCCCGCGACCCCCAAAATAACAGTGCCAGAGACTGGCGACCCCCTGTCGACGGGGGGGGGGGTGCTAGTGAATTAATTTCAGTTTTCCGCACTCTCGCGGGAGTGTCATTATTGTCTCACTAGTCCGCCCCTGAAAATGTCTATGCAAACGTTATTATTAATAATTAAAAAAAAAAATTAATTATAGAAAAAATTACCGGTAATCAATTTTTTTTTTATAATTTTTTTTTTTTTAATTTTCCATTTTTATTTTGTAATCATCTCAGGACCCCCACTCGGGGTCTCGCGACCCCCACTCGGGGTCTCGCGACCCCCACTTCGGGAACCCCTGAACTAGGTGGTAGTAAAGCGTTACACATTTCTACCGAGAGATTATACAACCTGCTCACCAACCAATTTCTTTAAGCTGTTATTTAAATGTTATTTGATGTATTTGTTACATAATGTTGCTTAAAGGTTACACTTAAAAGACTGTAACCTCTAAAAAAGTGAAGGTCACTTTGCTCATGAAGGTATCATAAATGCATCTTTCCATTTTATTTGTCCATCTGCCACACTGTCATCACCTGTACATGTCTTACATGTCTGCACAAATTCATTTGTTTTTAATATGATTTGCTTCTTCCGGCACAGCTTTTGAAATCACACCATGCAAACAAACAGGTTCAAGGTAGGCATCTCCATCTCACTCAACTCTCCCCCTGACACCACCTTACTGTCACTCCATCCTTTAGAGATCAGCTTTCCTTCTACCTATGTTATGTTAAGAATGAAATCCCTTCTGACTAAAGCAGGTAACTGTTACACGACAGGTCTGCCTTGGAAGAGATTGCAAGATTAAGAAAGAAAGAATTACTTAGTATTTTGAGATTCTCCTTTTCCCCCCATTTGTATTCTGCAGCTCTCAGGGTGTCAGCAGTGCCAACGAGCAGCTTGAGTCATTTATCACCATGACTCACCAGCTATTACTAAGCAAAAACAGCCAGCTCCCAGCCTGCCCCTCTGTCACATAGTATGAAAGCAAATGATGAATGGAAGTGAACGCACATTGTCCCACTGCAGACATTTTGTGGCATCCATTTAACTTCACTCCTACGAAGCATGTGGTTTATATTGCGTGCAAAAGTACGCAAGGAAATTATTTGTCATTTTCTGTAGCTATGTGTCTAACGGTGTTTTCTTTGTTCTCCTCGAAGGCCAAGGACATGCAACAGATGGTGAAGTTGGAGGAGGAGATGGACCGCAGACCTGCCACGGTGGTGTGAGCGAATGAGACAGAGGCACATGTACACACACACACACACACACACACACACACACACACACACACACACAAACATGCAGGTGCAGAAACACTGCACCGCTGATAGCCCTCTACAACCCAGAGACATTAACCCTGGTTACATCACTGTCTCTCTACTTTCTGTCATCTTTCACACACAAACAAACAAACAAACACAGTAGCCCTGCCACCAATCAGTTTCTGCATCCTTACCTCACCCACCAACTCTACAACACTGAGCCATTGGTGCTCTTCACTGTTTGGCAGGGGGTATAACCACTTATATGGAGAGGAAATGTTACCTCGGAAGCAAATAACACAGAATCAGACGTATCCCCTCCTCCACTGTTTGTAGATCGAAATGTTCACCTTCAACGCTCTCTGAATCCTACGGGCAACACAAGCTGCAGCTATGGGTGGACACACACTCACTCTCAACCACACACACACACACACACACACACACACACACACACACACACAGAACACATGCACAAACACTTTCACTCACGGGAGGTGGATAACCATTCCCTTTTATACTTTTTTCCTTCTTTCTTTCTTTGAAAATGGTACCCGATTAACTGCTCCAGAAACGGCGCGAAGAGGCGAAAAGAATATGTTTAAGATTTAATGTCATTTCAGCACAAATGAAAAAACGTTGTGAAATACACTGTACGCTACACACCAGTCCTGTCCTGAGCACTTTGTATGTGTAGGCCATTATAACAATGTGGGAAATGTAGCAGTGCACTACTGTAGGTTTTCTGTATTTCAGTAAGAATGTATTTTTAAAAAAGAAAATCACTGTATGAAGGAGTAGCAAACGCCACGTGTCACCTATACCTACAATGCAAGTTGTGTAACTTCACAAAGATGTGTTACTGACGTTTTTGTTGTCCGACAATGTTACAGCCGACTATAAAAAGGCTTATTATCTTTGCTGCGTCAAAAGACTATAAAGGGATCACAATGGAGAGATGTTCACTTTGATTATGGCCCATTTCCCCACTCAAGTTTTGTTTTTAAATGCTATACCCTAGAGATTGTGTACCTTTTGTGTTTTACTTGAAAATAACATGCTAAAGTCATTTTTATTTATTTTTACAATTACCCTCAATCATCACAAGTTCATACCTGCAAAACCCAAAGTGTAATGCTCCTAATTTTGGGCTCAAAATCACATATACTATGCAAACTATACAAAACATGATTCCCTTAAAGCTTAAGGTGTAGAAAATACCGAAAATCAATTATGACCGTGACCAAAAGAAATAGAGGGAAATGATACAGTAATAGTTACCCAAATGATTTATTTGTTTTGCCTTTAATGATGGATGACTAAACAACATGAAGGTATTACATTGAAACAGAGGCTCCATAGTCTAAACCAAGCTCTATAGCACCCACATTGTCAAGGCAAAAGGCCTAAGAGCCCTAGACATAAACACTGCACCACTGTATACCAGAGAGTATCTACAGTAGCATCTACATCTCAGCAAAACAGCCAACTGTCACTGTCCCAGGAGGCAGGCAGTGGAACAACCGGAGAACTGTTAACTGTGGAAACTACCCAGAAAAGAGGCCCGTTGACGAAGTAGGCAAATAAAAGAAGGAAGGTTCAAAACTGTTATTTCTTCTAAACCAGATCAGTAACTAACAACACCTGGCCATGTTGCTTACAATATGAACAAGCAGATTGAAAACTTACACATGTAAAAAAAGTGGGCAAAGTTGTGGAGAGTTTTGCACTCGAAACTCTTGTGAAATTGTGCCAAGTCCTTAAAACACATGTAGCAAAATGTGTCAATGTGTGGCAGCACATTCATTCTGCTGTAATACATTGTTTTAATTGAGTCGCCCATCACCATCGGACAAGAACTTTTGCAGAGCGAAGTCAAAGCCATCTGGCCTAGTCAGTGTCCCCCTCATTAAAGCGGTGTTTAAGTGAAGTGCTCCCTTAATAGCTTCTTGACTGCACGTTAGCAACCTCAGCTTGTAATCCTCAACGTTTCCCTGCTCGCCTTCAGTCAGGGGATGTCAGACTGAGTCATTAAAAGAGATTTGTAACAAAGCCTGTGACATGGCTGCCACACACTTTCCACACCAGGGACTTCAGAGCAGGCCTGTGTCCCCCACACGTTCCCTTACTGTTTATGGCACTACAGAGAACTTGAGGAAGCACTATTTTCTTCAGTCTTGGTGACACTGCTGGACAAAAAGCCCCCACAGGGAATGAAATGTGAGCTGAAGTACGATTATAAAGTAATACTGTGGGTACTGTAGTATTTGTGCACATATGACGATGCCTGGCAGTCACATTGCAGGGCATACCACTAACAAAGAGGACCAAAAGTCTTTATAATGATGACACAAAAAACATGAGGATAAAAGCACCTCGAGGTATTAAGCCCTATTTAAAATATATTTCCTGCTGTAACACACATATAGGGTAGATGGGATTTTCTTGTATATACTGGAATGTATGTAGTTTAATTTACTTTTTGACCAATTGTGTTCTGTCATACAAGGGCTTGGGATAGAGTGGGTCTGTGGGATGTTGGGAAAGACATTTATCAACCACTGGGTTTTCTTTGTTGTCTCCGTCTCCCAGTCTGCCCTGACTGCACCGCACAACACAGTGTAAAGCTCACACCACATATCTAGTGCAGAGATAAACAAGTCAAAAAGTGCTTTTAAATTGTATTCCATTGCTTTCAAATGTGCCACTCAGTGTCTGCTAGGATGGTAACATTATTTTGTGAATGATAAAATGCCAAATTAAGGGGTTATTTATATGAAGATATATATAAATAAATGAATATATATATATATTATATATATTAGATATAATGTGTAGTTTAAGAATATTATGTTTGTTAGAGGCTTTGTTGCACTAGTGGAATGTTTTTGTTGTGTGATTACATGTAACCTTTGGCTCTCTAGTTCGTCAAAAAGCCGATTATTTTTGCAGAGCGAGTCACCGATTTCATTTCCTCAGTTTCTACTGTATCTCCTCTTTGTTTTCTATTTGAACTGTAGCTTGTCAACAAACCATTCTGTGCGTGTTTTTGTATTTATATTGTATTGTTGAACTTAAAGCAATGAAAATACTGTTGTTATCCAGCTCCTTTAATACTGTTTTATAGTATGTGTACCAATAAATCCAGGTGTAAAACGGGACATGATGAAGAGGCTCATTTTTGTTTCATCCAAGCATATTTTGTTGTTGTGTCAGAATATAATCCTCCTGTTTATATAGGCCTACTGGTGTTTTGAATACAGTAGTGCTTAACACTATTGATATTTCATATTTTCTTTGACCCATCATTAAAACATTATTCAGATCCAAGATTGTTTAAGCTCTTTCTCCCTTCAGAATCATTTTGAATGGAACATGTTTTAAGTGGTGTCATACTTTATTAGCGTGCAACGCCCGCGGACTTATTTTCCAGACAATGAATACTGCGGTCTAATCACATTCAACAAGTGCAGGATCATTCAACATCGCAGATCCACTCGTGAGGCTGTTGATTGTCATTATAAGCAAAGTATTTCCATTTGAAAGACGAACAAAGCGCGGGGTTTATGTTTGCGTTGCCTGGCAACACCGTGGCTGCCCTCTTCACTATATAACAGAGGTGATGTGTTGTTTTTGTCAGCACTCGTCCCGTTTTTAGGAGAGGTTTCCACACCTGCTCCATATCCTTTATAGCTGAACTTTATCTGATGAGAAGCCCATTTCAGAATCATGCTCAAGGCTCAGGGAAAGTCCAATGAGCAAACAGGCACAACGATCCTCCTGGAGGCGATGTCCAAGGATAAAGTCCACCTGGCCAGGTTCGTTCTGGACGCGCTGGATGGGGAGATTGTGGACTGCAAAACAGAGGACGCACAGACGCCCCTTATCTCCTCCATCCTGCTGCCTGATGGCCACACTCGGTGTAAGTTTGTAGAGCTTCTGCTGCAGAAAGGCGCCAGTGTGAACTGTCCTGACGGAACCGGGCGCACCGCGCTCAGTTACGCCTGTGAGCAAGGCTCCCTGGACGCTGTGAAGATCCTGGTCCGATACAATGCAGACCCGGAGGTTGTGGACGTGTGGGGGAACACTGCGCTAATGTATGCCACAGTTTCAGGGCACTCCCATGTGGTAGAGTTTCTGGTGAGATCGTTCAAGAGGCTGGGTCTTCGGATAGACAGGCAGAATAAAGTTGGAAACTCTGCAGTTGAAGTAGCGAAGTTTCTCGGTCACACAGAGTGCGTCTTTGCGCTCACAAACAGTTTCAAGAAGAACCGGGAAGCTCAGGGAAATGCGCAGCCGCGACTTAGTTTGGGAAGTCCTGATGTTAATGACACGTTTGGAAGGAGAGTTGGACATTTAGTGAATAAACTTGAGGACTTCCAAACATGTGATCATGCTGATTGTTTATTGGTTCCAAATTGGAGTTGGCCAACAAGGCCTCGGGTAAAGCAGAGTCGGCTGCCGTCGATGGACTCTATAGAGGAGTTTGAAAGAGAGCAGGACGCTTCCTCCTCGCCTCCACATCTGGTCTTCTCCGGAGTCCTAACCCCTGAAACCCCTCCGCGCACTTCATACCACCACAACAACTTTACGCATCCTAAAACTGGCGATGACCACCTCCCCCTACCTAAACTGAGCTGTGAGGATCAAACATCATATTTTCCCAGCGGAAACATCCACAGACCCAGCGCGCCTTCCGCCCTGGGCATCCTACTGTCTCCCATTCCTTCCAAAAAAAGTGAGGCTGACTCAGTGACAGACACATCTAAAACATTAGAGTTTGGTGTGCGCAGATTTTGCGACAGCTACTATGAGAAAAGGTGTAGTCTGCCAACTAGTATCCTCAGACCCACACCTCCGGACCGAACACTAGTGCCTGTGCGTAAATCCAGAACCGTGAGGAGGCGCGAGGCGTCTCCCTGCAGGGCTGAACCTCCTCCGTTCACCGCACTAACTTCCACTACTTCAAACACAACCTTCTCGGCGCTGAGCAACAAACTCTTGCGCCGGTTCACCTCCCTGGAGATTAAAAAGAACCCAAAAGAGTTGGAGGAGAGTCCCATGTTGGCTTCAGGGCGGATTCCGCGATCAGAAACTTCTCCTCAGTGCAGAAAACACCCCCAAGTGGACAGTAAACCCAGCATTGACAGCATCAGCTCGGTCAATTGCGAGTTTGGCATTTTTAAATAAAAATGCCACTGTGCGTAGAAAGTGTTTTGCCACTAATGTCAAGATTCTAACGTTACTTTTAGACCTAGTTACATACAACTTAAAACACTTTGCCCAAACGTGCGTAGATGCCAGCTCCTGCCAGGAGGATATTGCAGCCACAGAGTGAAACGCGATGTAAAACTTCCAGTTTCAGTGTGTATGGTTCAGCCCTTACAGAATGGGCGGGGCTTCCATGGAAGGTGGAAGGGTGATAATAAATACACAATTAGTCAATTCAGCATTTACTCATGTTGTGCTAATATTTCATATGTTTCTGTTATCATATTATTCTTGAATTATGTAAGATGTTATGTCATCTTTAATGATTTTATTGGTGGCTAACAGTAAATAAAATGTCACTTTCTGAAATGAACTATGTCCTGAGTGTGACAGAGAGAACATAAATTCATTATCAAATCAACATTGGTACAGCAAGACAACAAATATGTGGTTCCAGTGCCAGTTTAACTTGTATAACTTCTGAGAATTTTCAAAATGTGTAAGTGTATTTGTAAAATTGTATAAAATCTCACTCTGTTGAATAATACTTATAACATATATTCATTATAATATTTAAAGTCTCCATATTAGATGAAAGGATTTGTGTAGCATTCTCACTAACTCAGCTGCAACCTTGCAGAAGTGGAGTTTGCAGGAGGCAGAGAGGGAGGGGGTGTTGTCGGCATTACCCTCTAGACATACATCATTTCAGCCCAACCTACAGCTGCTGCAAAGAGATGGACACTACAGCATTGCGGGGATAAGCGAGACTGCATGCCGAGTCCTTCTTTACAAGAGAGTAATTCAGGTTTCCAACTTTTTCTTCAAGAACGATCATTAATCCTGATGCTAATGATGTGCAGAAGGGGCTCAGTCCTGCAGCTGTCACTGGGTTAAACCCCTTCAACCTTGGAGAAGGCACTCTGTTTGGCCGGCCAAAACTCCTCAGAGCCGGCTGCTCCTGCAGAGCAAACCGGATCTCACGTCCAACCTGGAGACAATTTTTGCTGCATTCAGGATGATCTGAGCGTGACTGCTGGGTGCTGAGTGGAGGCATCCCCCCCTCTCTCTCTCTCTTTTCCTTCCTTCCTCTCCCGCCTCCCCTCTCTGTCTTTCTTTCTCTTCTTGTCGTGGGTTCAGCACGGGCTGCCCAGTAGTTTAGCCCCTTTTTTTCAGTGCTGGGAAAGCTGGTAGCGATGGGACGACTCGATTTCAGCACCACAGAGAGCGCCCGGCTTCTGCTGCTCGCTGTATTCGGTAAGGGAGTGTGTTTAGTGTGTGTGCAGCTGTCGTGACTCTTCACTGCAGTGAGTGTGTGTGTGTGTGTGTGTGTGTGTGTACGTGTATGCGTATGCACATTATGCGCGTGTTTAGGCATGACAGAGTCGATGTGTGTGGCAAATTTCACATGTTATTTCTTCCTTAAATGAATATAAAAGTCGTTCAACGTGTTCAGCACTTTCTGACGTTGTTGAGACTGCAGCCAGTGGCGTGCTGTTGCTCCCCTGATACTGCAGATTTCCCTCTCCGGGGTTTTTACCTGACTTTGCCGTAAGGAAACAGTGGTGATCTAAAGATGTGAGCTGAATCTAAATGATGACCATTATGCCGCTGTATCTGCTGATTGTGCATGTGTTGGGATGTGTGTGCCCCTTATGATGCCCCGCAGATATAAATTAGCCCCACCTGCGACTTCTTAATATTCTGTGCGGCTCTGTTGCCAGGTGTGCTGGCGCTGTCCGTGGTGCTGGCGGAGCAGGAAGGGGAGAACCTTTCCGGTCTCTCCAACAACCCGGACAAAGCCATCTTCGCCGTCCGGGAGAACGGCACGACATGCCTGATGGTGGAGTTCGCCGTGAGATTCCTCGTGCCATATGACGTGCTCGCGCTCAATGGGATAGACGTAAGGAATCCCCCGTGAATATTAATACACGTGGATGTGCATGATTTAGTAAAAATAATAAACGCAATGGTTGTTTCAAGCAATCTTGCGTAAAATATTGCTTTATGCTGAATACATGACAAGGTTTGCTTGTCGTGCGTAAAGGTGGTTAGAGCACAACACCTTTTTTTACATGCAAAATATTTTTGCCGTTTATTTCAATTGCGGGGTTTTTTGCGCTTATAAGAAAAAATGCACGTTAGAATTGTAATGGGAAACTTAATTGTGCTGACCACGTCAAACCCATCAAGAAGAAAATAAAATATTGTTTTAAATATCAAACTAAAAATCTAAAATCATTCTATATATTTTGACTCGTTATTGTTTCTGCTTATAAAAACTACTAATTATTCGCTGCTGTTTGCATATTGGGTTACACTATTCAGTCGTGCGTAAAAATGGAATGCTTAAAACCAGCGACATTAATCCGTAATGTGTCCCCATCTGTTAACTCTTTGCACGTGCTTTCTGTGTGTGTTGCAGCTGATCACGGAGCAGGCGGCGTTCACTCTGCCCCGAGGTGCAGAAATCGAGGGGACATGTGGGAGCACGGAGTCAGAGATCCAAATATCCTGGAAGAACAACGCCTACACCCTCCGCATCTACTTCTCTAAGGTGGGCGAGTCAACGACAATGATGCATACTGTACCATATGCAATTTAAAACAAATTAAAGCATCTCCTGGAAACATAGCAAAACGCCAACCCACACTAAATATACGCTTTTAGACATGTGATGTCACTTGGAATCCTATTTTGGTTGGGAAATTAATCATGATGCAAGAATCGTGTTCGTTGAAGCCTGTTTCCTGAATTAAGTCAAATAAAATAAATTAAAAGCCTCGTCATGATGGATTGTTCTTCTGATTGAAGGCCAACGCGGCCTCTTCATGCAGGGGGAAAGCCTATTTGACGCGCGTGTGTGTGTGTGTGTGTGTGTGTGTGTGTGTGTGTGTGTGTGTGTGTGTGTGTGTGTGTGTGTGTGTGTGTGTGTGTGTGTGTGTGTGTG